CAAAAAAAAAAAAAAAAAAAAAAAAAAAAAAAAGAAACGGCATAAATCCCATTGTTTTCTAGGTCTAACTCTGCCATGGGCTTTTTGTTTTGGGTGATGGATAAGTGCATAAAGCATATTTGACAGCGAAAGTGTAAAATTTAACAGCAAGCGTTCAGAGCCGCCATTCTGAATGCCTGTTCTAGCTGTTGAGTTGTATAGACTTTGTATCTGGTTAATTTTTGTGTTATATTTTTATTTACTTGTGAGTTTTCTTGATTAATAAGGTTTATTTTTTAAAAAAACAACTAACAAAGAACAACTTTGGAGTGCTTTCCTAGGTTTTATGTTATGTTCCATAGAGTAAATTGTACTTGAATTCCTTGAGGCTCGCTGTCTGTACCAAACATTATTGTGTTTAGTTAAGCGCTAGTCGGGGACGTAATGACACATTAACCTTCGATGTTCCCCGATTTGACAATTTCCCTTTAAAAAATGGTGAATTAATGAAAAAGGTGTAGCGCCATATTATACAGGCCCATATTTCTACATTATGTGGCGGCCAGACTTTTAGGCCACAGTTTGCTCCTGGCCACACAGAAGGTGGTCACCTAGCCTTTCCAGAGAAACCGACGCCATCCTAAACAAAGAGTCAAGATAAGCCAATGCCACCTGCTTCTTCTTTGTAACTATGAAAGATGGCCGCGGGGTTGGGGGGGGGAGGTGTTAATTCAATCTACAGGACAGAGAAGCCATAGTTCTGGACGTGACCTAAATCCCGCTACCTAGGAAACAGAATGCTAATGAATTTCCCCTTCCTTTATGGTTTGGTATAAAAGCTGTTTGGAGAATAAACACGGGTGAATTTTGAAGATGTGAACTCAGGATTCCATGAGGGATCACTGAGAACTCCCTCCCAACAAAATGATGTGAGTTGTGTCTTTTTTCTCATGCCTCCCCGCTGGTCCGAGAGATAATTTATGTCGAGGCCGGACCTCGACAAAAGGAAGGCACAGGAAAATGAGAGGATTTTAATGAATGCAAATATAGATGCTTTGGAAGCATATTCTTTTTGGCAGAGAAGTAAGATGAGTGTCTCCATCAACATCCTAATCTCATTCCCTAGACTGTGATCTCCATTCTCTGCGAGCGGCTGGCTACCGTAACACATCCATTAAGTACTGCTGCCCTTGGCGGAGTTTGCTTTCTTTCTCAAGCTTCTAATTAAATGTATTTGAGGAAGCTGCGTACACGTCCCTTTCCAGCCCCTAATCTCGGAACTTGGGAGGTGGAGTCAGAGGCAGGCAGATCTCTACAAGTTCAAGGCCAGCCTGTGCTCTGCACAGTGAGTTCCAAATAAACCAGGGCTGGGTAGTAGGATCCTGTCTCAACACACACGCACACACACACGCGCACACACACACACACACACACACCCCATATACACACACCCCTCAGCGCACCACACCGTACAACAACAACAAACATTCTGTTTTGATGGGCAATGTTGGGTTCCACTTTCTGCTCCAGCTGAGTTCTTATTGGCATTAGAGTTCCTTTCAGGAGAATTGCATAGGGTATGTTTTGCCTCCACAATGACCCAGTTTCCCAATTGGCAGAAGATGTTCTGCTGCAGGAAAGGAGGCGTGAAATCCCACACACCACCTTCTTCCTTTCCCTTCCTGTTTGCTTTTTCTCAGTCCCCAAGCCTTTCTTGGCTTGTATTTGACCTCACTCTAGGAGCAGTTGGTGGTGGGCAGGGGCTGGGAAGTTGTTATCTCAGAAGGTCAAGGCTCTGGCTGAAACTTCATTCTGCCCTGAGATCCTCTAGGGTCTCACTCCCACCCCCCACCCCCACCCCCAGCCTGTTGGGAGCAGTGAACCCCCAGATCCTGAATTTCTTGTAAACAACTTGTTTTCCCCTGATCTGAGTGCCTGCAGCTGCTCTGAGCACGAGATCCTCAGGAGTTCCTAATGGCAGGAGAGTGGTTTCTGGTGGGTTTGGCTGGGGCGTGGCTATCACTTAAGGATCCCTATGTAAGTGGCTCTGCAATAAAGGGGGCATTTTGGGGGCATTCTTGTTTCAAGGATGACCCGTGTCTCTGTCTGTCTGTTTTGGTGTGTTTCAATCTGCAGCCCCTTGCCCAGTTCACGAACTGTATGGTAGCGCATACAGCACAAATGGGCGCAGTGCACTACACCAGCCCAGTGGACTTTGGAGCCTGGCTCCTGATCCTTTATTGTGCTTCTCAATCCGTGTCTATCATATTGTATCCTGCTTGTCTGTCACGACTAGATTTGGCTTTGGTCTGTGTTTCTTTCTTATTTCCCAGGCTTTGCTTGACCCCTCATAGGTCTGCTGGTTCTCATCACCACCCAAAGCTAAAGAAAAGAGGCACCTAAATCTTAATTATTGTGAACTCCCAGATAATGAAGTCACTTCGGGCAAGTGGCTGAAGTCACTCTGGATAACCATCTCTGTTTTGTCATGAGTGGGTCGTCTCTAGGGTCTTAGATTTTAGGAATTCTAGGAACCCATAAACTTCTGTGCTTCATTCGATCCAACTGTCTTTAATTCTGTTTTGAGCTAATACCTCTGAGCACCAAGTACTATATTATGCAGGCAGGTCTCTACCACCACTGCATAAGGAAAACTTGCAAAGATGATAACTGTGCGTCTTTATTCACAGCTTATCATTTAAGAACACGTAAGGCCCCTCCCCCAGGTGTCCAGTCTTGTTTTATGACTGCGTGGCTGCGTTCCCAGCCTTTGAAGGCAGCTCCTCCACATAGGCAGCCGGAAAATGGCCTTTCTTCCCATTCAAAGAGCCGAACCACCATCCTTCTTCCTTCTTCTCATGTAGGGTTACAATGTCTCCTGCGAGGACACACACTGAGTTAGACGGATGGTTCTGGGCAGCCTGAGCACATGCCACACAAAGTTGGTAAGAGCTTTGAAGAACAGTTCCGTACCCAAGAAACTGCATGGCAACATTGCTTTCTGCATTTGATTCGGATGAAGCACAGTTTGCTGAGTGCTGGGCATGAAAAGCTGAGAATGCTAAAGAGAGTGAAATAATGAACTACCGAGTGATGCTAAGGATTTGCATAAAATCAGAATCGTGGTAGAATAGCACAGCTGGCTTCTCCTTTTATGTGCAGTGATCGGGTTGTCAGCAAACTTGCTGTATTTTCCTTAAGGGTTATACATATTGGTGGCCATGAGAGTTGAGAATATTTCATTGGAAGTGTGTGTCTATCAACAGTCTTTCTTGAAATTGTGATAACTCCCTGTGTCACATTTGGCTTCAGTCTTTCTGCAGTTGCACGTAGAAATCTAGCCTCCATCCCAGTGATTTAGACGACTTTAATAATAAAACATCAATTTGGAGATAATCATTTGAAGGAAATGAGTAAAGCCAAACTCCTAACACAGTTCTTATCTAATTTTTGGTTGCCCTTTAAAAAAAGTAACCATGGTCTTAGTAACTGTAAACTGGGTGGGTGGGCCAGCACACTTTAGTTAAGCCTCTGGCTTGAAAGAACTCTTTTTATCTCTCTGGGCATATTATTTGCTTGTGAAGCATCCCCTAACGGTCTGTGCATTGAAGGTTTAGTGCCCGGACAGTGGTGCTGTTGAGAGAGAATTGGATATTGAGGCTGCTGACTTTGTTAATGCGTTCATATTGAATGGCGTGTACAGTGATCTGTTTGCAGGAAGGTCACTGCAGGGCTTGCACTAGAAGGTCAAGGTCATCCCTTCCCCTCCCTTCGGTCACTGCAGGGCTTGCACTAGAAGGTCAAGGTCATCCCTTCCCCTCCCTTCTCC